GATGGCGACAATGACGATGATAACGACGGCGGCGACGACGGCAATCCCGCGGGGCCTCTTCGATGCCCCGACTTGTCTGCTCACTGGGGTCAGCGAGCTCGCGGGAGACGTTCAGCTGCACCACAGCAGCTGGGAAAGGGGTGGACGTGGGGACAACGACGGCGACGACGACGGACGACATCGATGTTGCTGGTGATGGCGATGACCGTGGCGATGATCGGCGACTGTGGCGCGCCTCCACTCCGATCATAGCTGGCCGCTCTGGGCCAGCCTCTCGCTATCGCTCGGACGTCCATTCTCCGTGCAGTGTTCGGTTTCTTCCCCGGATAGCCCCAAAAGGCTCCTCTGAGAAGGAGGAAAGGAGGAGGAGGAGGAGAAAGAGGAGGAGGAGGAGGAGGAGGAGGAGGAGGAGGAGGAGGAGGAGGGTGAGGAGGAGGAGGAGAACAAAAAATGCGCACTTCCGAACGGTGCCGAGGCCTGGCCGTCGTGGGCCCGCGGCTGGTCGCGCCGAGCAGGCGAGGCCTCGCCGCCGTGCGCAGTGGGCCCTGCTCGGGCCGGGCCGCCGCGCGCCCCGCCGGGAGGCCGGGCGACCTTTCGGCACGGTCGGAACGGGTACAGTCTCGGGGGGTCGTAAGACCCGGGTACAGGGGACTCGGAAATCCCCGACGAGGTCGTCAGAAAAACGACGAGGCCGAGCCTGCATTTTGACGAGGCCTCCCGCTGCAGACATCCCACGAAACTCCTACTCGTCAAAATCCGAATCGCGGTCGTCAAAAAACGATGGCGAACCCGAGTCCTGGCAAACCCGGGTCTTACGCTCCCCCGACAGTCGAACGGGCTGTCCCAAGGAGCCCGAAAGAAGGAGCGAGGCCCCCATGTCCCATCAGCTAACCTTCGATCTCCCACAGAACGCCTAAGGAGAAGCGAAGAAAAGCCCTGCAACAATCCAGGAACACTGAGCCCCTCCCCAACGAACAGAATTCCTTCTTCAGCGGCCCGACCGTGCGGAAAGAATAGCTGGACGTGGTCGCTCCCCCAACGCATCGGCTTCTTGCGGCGCTATGCCGCCAGCGGCTTGGCCAGGCACATGCCCTGGTGGGTCCGATCGGCCTTGCCTGCCTTCGCGCTGGTAGAAGAACAACGTCGAGGCCTCCTCGGAAGGCACGAGGCTTTCCGAGCCTTCTAAGAGGGCGCGCCCACTCTCACTTCCCCCCAGGGCTCGCCGCCGAATTTCCGGTCCATCTTGATGTCGATACTGTGCCGACTCGGCGACGACCGCACTGCGGGCGTTCAAAGTTGAACGCCGCCAGCGGTCATTCGTCGAATATTGAACGATCTGCGCGTTCGAAGAGCCCCAATCGTTCATGGCTGAGCGATCCACGCGGTGTCAGAAACCAACGCCCAAATCGTCACGACACGAACCAGCCGCAAGCGCGGTGCTCACCTCGTCGCCCGCACTGGCCACGGACGTCGCCGGCGTCCCCAAATAGAGGCCTCTGAGATGGGGTCCAAGCAGGTGGGGTCGGAGGATGGCGCCGCATTGCCGATGAATCGCCGACGCACGCCGATGCATCGCCGATGCGTCGACGTCGGTGTGGAGGAAATCGGGCTCCACATCGAGCCGCATCGCCGATGCATCGGCGATGCGGCGCGATCCTCATTTCCCATCTACTCTGACCCCTTCTGGGAACCCTAGAGGCAGCGAGAGTGATGACTGCGACTGGTTGCGCTTACGGTGACGGACGATTGCGACTGGTTACGGTAGTGGCAAACGTGCGATCTCTCGACTTTCCCCGGAAAAACTGACCCTTTCCCCAAGGCCGGCTTCTCATCCCGAGTCTTTTCGGCCCTGGAGCACGAAACTTAGCCCCAGAGTATGGGCCCTGCAAAAAACATCGCCGTATTGGATTTGTCAAAAAGTTGGATATCTCGCTCCGCCGCCTTCTGCGGCAAGTCAAGGGAGCCTACCATACCATCTTGTGGTGGCTCGTGCGAATCGACGCTGACTGACGCTAATCGACGCTAAATCGGCGCTTTCTGAGCGATTCCCAGACGCTAGCGCACGCCAGTGCACGCAAAAGACGGAATTACGAGTACATACAAGGCTCCCATGACTTGCAACCGAACAAACGTAGAGAAACAATAGACGGCATAAACATAAACTGTCGACGGTCCGCACGGATTGCTTGGATCGACGCTGAAACCCCCTCCCTGGCGCGCGGAGAGCGCCAGGGGCGGCGCCAGAGGCGCCGCCAAGGGGTCCAGCGCAGATCCAAGAAGTCCGCGCGGACCGTCGAAAATTTGCGCGTATGCCGTTTATTCTTCGTCGAATGTTAGATTCGGATTTCTCCTGACCCGAGTCAGTGCAAACTCGGGTCAGTCAGGCTTTGCAGGATCCTGCGCGATAGCCAGGGTTTGTGTGACACTGGTTTTACAGGATCCTGCAAGATCTGGCACTCTGGCTGACCCTCGTTTGCATTGACCCCCGTCTCAAGACTTCCGATAGATGTCCTTCGTCCGCGCAAAGCCGGACTGGGGGAGGGGGGGAATGCTTCTTAGGAGGCTGCTTCTTAGAAGGCGCCGGCCTTACACTTACAGACAAAGCCCGCGCCTTCTAAGAAACAGGTTCTTAGAACTTCCCGCTCCCCCTAACCTCCCTCTGAGCGTGGCCGATGTTTATGCTGTTCATTCTCCTTCGCAGGACCACATCCCAGAACTCATTTCGAGCACCCAGACCAATTCCAAAACAGTGTATGCCCGACACGCTAGGGCAATGTCGATCGAGCATCGCCTCCTAAAGTGGAGGAACAAAATTAGCATAGACATAAACTTTTGGAGGTCCGCGCGGCTTTCTCGGATCCGCGCTGGACCCCCCCCTCCCAGGCGCGCGGAGCGCGCCAGGGGCGGCGCAAGAAGCGCCGCCGGGGAGGACCCAGCGCGGATCCGAGAAAACCGCGCGGACCTCCGAGTCTGTATGACTACCTCCCAGACCACCCCAACCCAACCCGAAGACCCGAATTTCGGGTTGGGGGGGGTAAGGGTTCCACATGTGTTTTTTCGACGTTTCCCGACCCCCCCCCACTGGAAATCGAGGGTAAATCTGAGCCTTCGGGTTGGGTTGGGGTGGTTTGGTGGGTGGTGACTGTATGTTTATGTCATTACTTGTTCCTGTAAATCTCCCCCCACAATTGCCTTCGTCCGCGCCCAGCTCGCAGCGCCGCGCCGCGGCGTGCCGCAGGCACGAGCCGCAGGAGCGCGGGCAGTGCACCGCGAAGACCCTCGGCCGCGCGGGCGACGAGCGCCACCGGCCGAGACGGCGCGGCCGAGCACCTCCGAGGATCGGCGACCTCTCGCGCGGTGTGTTGGACGCCCTCCCAGGGGTCCGAACGACGCACCGGCGCAGGAAACCGTAGACATTTTGGCTCAAGCTCGAACGCGCTTCCCAAGCAAAGCTACTGAGCGGTGCAGGCGAGTGCCGCCGGAACTGAGCCTTCTGTGTCCCCGACTCGTGCAGCCGACCGCGCTGGAAGAACACATCATCATCCTCATCATCATCATCATCATCATCATCATCATCATCATCGTCATCATCAGCGACATCAGCAGCATCAGCATCGGTATCAGCATCATCACCATCATCGTCAGCATCAGCATCAGCATCATGATCAGCATCAGCATCATCCTCATCACCACCACCACCATCATCAGCAGCATCATCATCATCGTCATCATCGTCATCGTCGTACTCATCATCATCAGCATCATCATCGTCATCATCATCACCATCAACGTCACCATCATCATCATCATCATCATCATCATCATCATCATCATCATCATCATCATCATCATCATCATCATCATTATCATCACAACCACCATCATCATCATCATCATCATCATCATCATCATCATCGTCATCGTCATCATCATCATAATCATCATCATCATCAGCATCATCATCATAATCGTCATCATCGTTATCATCATCATTCCATCATCAGCATCATCAGCATTATCACCAGTATCATAAAATTCATCATCATCATCATCATCATCATCATCATCATCATTATCATAATCATCGACATCATTATCAACATCATCATCATCATCATCATCATCATCATCATCATCATCATCATCATCATCATCATCATCAATCAATCAATCAATCAATCAATCAATCAATCAATCAATCAATCAATCAATCAATCAATCAATATCATCATCATCATCATCATCATCATCATCATCATCATCATAATCATCAGCAGCAGCATTATCATCATGTCCGAACGACGCATCGGCGTAGGGAACCCGAGCGCAGACGCTTTTGGTGATCGTTTTCAGAGTCGGTCCTTGCTTTGCCCTCCTCCTCTATGTCCCAAGCTGGCCCTCCTCCTCCATGGCCCAGCCCAGTGTGCACGAAAGAAGGGAGAGGGAGGTAGGCAGGAGATGTGATATGTCCGGGTTTGCTGCTGGGGCTGATCGGTATGGGTTCAGCAGCGTTCTCACCCGAATGTTTCGAGCGCAGGAGATCCCAGACCGCCTCGAGTCGAGAAAAAAATCGCGACTCGAAGTTGTTGGCCATTCTCGGCCTCCAGGGGACCTGAATGGATTTCAGGACCCGTCCCCGGGAATGGGTCGAGACCTCTAGGGGTCGGTGCTGTGAACAACTCATGACGTCGGGGACCTGGGACAGCGTGACCGATCGCCGAGGACTGGGGAGGCCCAGCGGATCGCGAAGGCGGGTAGTTCACAGAGAGGTCTGCTCAGCTTTTCCGATTGGCGAGGGAGGCGAGGACTCCCCTCAGACGCGCGGCAGACACGTCGCTTGGTCCCTGTTCCAGGACTGGTCAGGGACTGGCGCCGTGCGCCCGCCCATCGCGAAACTCCACACGCTTTGATGCTTTGATGAAGGCTTCGCCAACCCAGACGTATGGCGGCTCGAACAGATCGAAACATCAAATTCCTGAATATGTTCGGTCTTTGGAGGCCAGTTCCGTCAACCAGAAAACGGCATGAAAAACTGGTCCCTTGGAAGTTGTCAAGACGCCTGTGGGCCCGTGACTCGAAAAAAACAAGCCGCCAGACGTCTGGGTCGTCCTCTCCATTTCCCCTTGCCTTGCTTACAGGAGCCCCCGAGGCGGCCTCACTCGAGCGGCACCGCGGCCGCTCGGATCCCCCTCCCATGCGCCCCCTGAGGCCGTGGGGTCTTGCGCCTGCCTGCCTGGCTGACCAGGTGATCGGCATGGCTGACGATCGGCTCGATCACGCGATCGGCCATCTTTGTCGTCGCCACAGTGGCCCACCTCGATCGGGGCCGTGGTCGGGCGTGTGGGGTCGGGACGCATGCCGCTCTGGGACTGCACGCGGCCGGCCACCGGCCAGCCGGCCGCCGCTGGCAGGCGGGAGCGGGCCAGGAAGAAGGCAACGGGCCCCCAGGAAAAACGGGTCCCGGGCTCCGGCGGCGCTCGCCTCGGGGACAGCCAAGAGGGGGGCGGCCATGAGAGGTGGGGTTGAAGATCACGGCCCAAGGCACGTGCGCGGACGAACGGGCGGCCGAGGGACGTACTGAAACACGAAGAGGGGCCATGAAATCCGGGGAGATGTCATGGCCCCGGCCATGATATCCACCTTGGGATCCCCAGAGCCCGAAGACGGCAGAAAGCCTCCAGAACCCGTTCCCTTCAGGACCCGTACCCAGACATCCGGCGTCTCGATTTTTCAACACGGGGCCCCCTGAAGTTCCGACTCATTCCCCTGGGCCGGGATCAAGGGCGCTTTTTTGACGGCGCTGGAGCCCGACACCAGACCCTGGAGGCTGAAAACGACGGAAGATCTCCCCGTCTTGATTTCTTCAAAACGTTGGACGCCCGGGTCTGCCCCACCAAGGGGGACATAAGAGGGGACTTGCTCGGCGGGGGGGGGGACGTCGACCTGGAATCGGCGACACACCGCCGACAGATCCGCGATAGGCCCCAGATTGCGAAGCCGCATGCTCCTGGGCGCAGTGGGCCATCGGGCCGCCATCGGCAGTCAATGGGCATTTGGGGCAGGAGAGCCCAGAATCGAATCGACGAGTCGGCTGGGAAGCCGACATGAGTCGGATCGGCGGAAATCGGCAGCCGAGTCGGGAAAAGTCGAATCGGCAGAATTGGGCACGCATGCATGCCTCCAATAAGATATCGGACCCCAAATCGGAACCACAAGTCGAATCGGAATCGGAAGCCATCGAAGTCGAATCGAATCGATGCATCCCCCTGGTTTTTCGGACCACAACTCGGTTCTCAGGCGGCCGTTCGGGACGGCTCGGGTGCCCCAGGAACGCCCTCGGCGAGGTGCAGCGGCTGGAGGGTATCCCGATGATGGAAGACCGCCGAGAACTAACGCAAAAACGTCCGGAAGCCTCGAATGTCAAGCCTCGAGCCCCCTATTTGCTGAGCGGATCCCCCCTGTTGAGCCGATCCCCCCTGGTACTGCCCCTCAGTCCCGGCGAGAGGGCGCAGCGGCATCGGGAGCGGCCAAGAGGGGGGCGTCCAAGAGGGGGAGGCGCAAACCATGGCCGGCAGCATCTGCGCACTGAAACAAGAAGAGGCGCCATGAAATCTGAGGGAACACTGTGGCCCCCGCCATGATATCCACCCCTAGTCATCACCCCGTTCTTGGCCGCCCCCGACGGCAGGCGATCGGGCCAGCCTTGGAGGCTTGGCAAAGGGCACCGACACCAACACAGGGGGTGCCTCATCAGGGGGAAGATGATCCTAGATTTCGGTGTTGGTGGTAATCCGTCGACCACCTAGAAACCCGAATATTACCACCATCGCCGAGATGGGGAGCATCTTCCCTCGGTGGAGAGGCACACCGCCGATGTTGGTGTTGGTGTCAAGCTCCAGGCCCCCGACAGCCTGCGCGGCCTGCGCGCCCTGTAGGACCTGGTGCCCTGGCTGACCCCCGTTCGCACTGACACCCGTCTCGAGGCTCCCGACAGGCGATCGGCCCGGCCGTCCCGGGAGGCGGCCGAGCGCAGCGGCTCCAGGGAGCAGTCGGCCGCAGACGCGAGGCCGCAGGCGGGGTGGGCCTCGCGCGGCCCCGGCCGGCAGGCGCGGAAGCGGGCGCGGAAGCGGGCGGGCGGGCGCGTCGAAAACCTCAAGGATGGGCCCGTTTTCCACCACCACTGCCATAGGTAGGAGAGAGAGAGAGAGGAGGAGGAGGAGGAGGAGGAGGAGGAGGAGGAGGAGGAGGAGGAGGAGGAGGAGGAGGAGGAGGAGGAGGAGGAGGAGGAGGAGTAACTCCTCATCCTCCCTTCTCCCCCCGTCCTACATATGGTAGTGGTGGTGGAACATTTGTCTACCATCACAGATGGCTTTTCGGGGCTCTGGGACCCCGGCGTCGGCTCCTGACACTGCGGGGATCGTTCAGCCTTGAACGAGCGGCCGCTTCTGAAACGTTCGATGATTCAACGTCGACCGATTCTGGGCCACGGGGCGGCATTCGGCGCTGAACGCCCGCGGCACGGTCGCCGGTTGTCGACACAACGCGAACCGACAGGAAGTTGCTGCCGCTCCAGCCGCTCGTGCTCCCGCTGCTGCCTGTGCCGCTTGCCCTCCATCTTTCCCTTCAAGCCGCCAGGCCCCCGCTCGCAGGACCCCCTGAACAATCATTTGACGAACAAGCAACACACACCCATACACAGAAAGGGGGTCGGAGGGAGGAGGAAAGGCTGTGGGTACGGGTGCGGGTTCTCGTAACCTGGAGAAGGCTCCCGTTCGAGCGGGGACCCCCATCCGACAATACGCACCCAACGCCCCCATCCGTTCCTTCCATGGGTATGGGTGTATATGTGTTGCTCGCTCGTCATCAAATTCGAAAATCCAGACATCCACGCAGGCATCCGCGCAGACATCCGGAGGATCGACTTGTTCGAGGCATGGGCTCCGAAGCCCTTCGACCGCTTCCTTGGGATCGGCTTCTGATCCTGAGTCGTTCTGAATTGCTCCGTGCCCGAAGCCAGCCTCCGAAGGCCCGACATTGTGAAGACGTATTCTGAAAACAAAGAGGGGCTGCATGTCCTCAGAAGATAAGCTCGCCCATGTATGAAAATCCACTTTGCATGCCACTGGCACCACCTTCTGCCAGATAGTCAACGCACTCGCTTGCGTAATACCCAATGAAAAACCTGCCGTCTGGGTTTGTTCGCGACGCCAGACAGGCCTTGGGGAAAAAATAGCGAGCACTCGTGCCACATTCATCTGTCAACGCCTCCCCCTCCCAC